TAGGGATCTAGCTCAGCAGCCCAAGCATCTATCTGCCTGGCAAATGCAATGTCCTGAGTTAAATTCCTGATATCCTACCCCCAAAAAAGAAGCAATCTGAAGATAAAAAGATGAACACTTGACAGGAATAGGCAAGGACTTCCTGAGCAGAACCCAAGTGGCACAAGAAAGAATACCAAGAATGAACAAATAGGATTGCATCAAATTAAAAAGCTGCTACACAACAAAGGAAACAACCAACAGAATGAAAAGACAGTGTACAGAGAGGAAAAAAAAAAATGCCAGCTATTCTGTGGATAGGACTAACATCAAAAATATCTAAAAAATTCAGAACATTAGACTCCCAAATTAAAAGACCAAATCTAAAAAGTGGGGGGGGGGGGCAACTGAAATGAATAGGCACATCTCAGAAGAAATGCAGACTAATGTAGTGAATGAGGGAAAAAAAAACTACATGTGTTGAGGGACACCTGAAATCCCAGTATTTGGGAGTCTGAGGCAGAGGATTGCCATGAGTTTGAGGATTGCCAGCTTGGTCTACATACTGAATTCAAGACCACTTGAGCAAGATATTGTCTCAAAAAAAAAAAAAAAAGTACAGATGACTCATAAATATGAAAAAATGCTCATTACTGGCCATCAGAGCAATGCGAATAAAACCACACTGAGAAACCATGTTACCCTAGAAAAAATGACTATCATCAAAAAAACTAGCAAGTGCCAGGAAGACATCAAGAAAAAGGAACTCTTAAAATTTTGAAGGGGCCAGGGAGATGGCTCAGTGGAATAAGCGCTTCCCTGGCAAGCGCAAGGGCCTGAGTTCAATCCCTGGTTCTGAAAAAAAAAAAAAAAAAAAAAAACCATTCTTGATAAGAACATAAGCAACAACTACTATGGAAATAAGTGTGGAGATTCCTCAAAAAACGAACTATAGAAGTTCCATTTGACTGTTATATCCCCATTCTAGGTATCTTCCCAAAAGAGTTAAAATTGTATTATGGATACACACCCATGTTTATAGTAGCACAATATACAAGAACTAAGTCCTGGAAACAGTATATATGTCCATCAGCAGATGAATGGATAAGGAAAATATACATAATGAAAAAAAAATGGGCCAGGGAGATGGCTCAGTGGAATAAGCGCTTCCCTGGCAAGTGCAAGAGCCTGAGTTCAATCCCCGGTTCTGGAAAAAAAAAAAAAAGAAAATATACATAATGGAGTAGTAACCACCACACATTAAACTTGGCAATGGATGTAATTTGAGAACATAAATAAGTCAGGCATACAAATTCAAATATTACATGGTAATATTACATGGTATCTCGTAGAGAAACATGCAAACAGTAAAATAGAAGTAGGAAGTAAGTTAAAATACTTCCCCAAATTACATGTTCCATTGTTTCAAAATTAACATATATGCTAATTGTTTCATTTATACTTCTAGTCTTAGTTTGCTGAATTTGTGTTACTATCTTTTTCTTTTTTTTTTTTTTTGTGAGAGCCTGGTCTTGTACTCTGAGCAACTATGTTGGAGATAATGATACACAGTGCATTAACTATTTTTATTCTTTTTTTTTATAAGGAAATTAATTTTTTCTTAATTTTATTTATTTATTTTTGTGTGTATGTGTGTGGCCAGCTCAGCCCACCAGGGGGCGGGGCTGGTTGGCATGTGGTGCTGGGGGATTGAACCGTGGTCCCTGTGCTTTACTTGTTCTAAGTAGGTGCTTTAGACCACTGAGCCATCTCACCAGCCCCACTATTTTTATTCTTTAGTGGTGTTATAAATTTTTTATTTTTCAATAAAGTCCAGCCCTGGCTTATAGGAGACATTTATAGCAATAAGTTTTAATAGTAAGGACTTTATTTTTTATTTATTTATTTTTGTGGAACAAGGGATTGAACTCAGGCCCTTGCACTTGCCAGGGAAGCACTTACTCCACTGAGCCATCTCCCTGGCCCCCAATAGTAAGGACTTTAAAATCTAGTGTAATAGACTAAGCTTGTCAGTTCAGGATTAACACTGTATGCTGCAGTTACAATGGAATATGTGACTAGATAGGAAAAATGAGGCCATGTTACTGAGAACTTGTCAGAAGAATTTAGTGTAATATTGGAAGGTAACAGGTGACATGATACATTTTAGAAAGATACATTTGCCTGCTGATTCTATAGCATTGTACTATTAATACAGATATATAAATAGACATTGTAGTTGAAGTCTCAAGAAATGAGTATCATCTGGGTGTGGTGGAACATGGCAGAAGTCAGGAGGCTGAGGCAGAAGGATTGCTACAAGTTCAAGCCTGGCTTATAAATAGAATGACATAGTGAGACCCTGTCTCCAAAAAACAAAAGCAAAAAGGAAATGAAGACTTGATCTTAAGCTCTTAAGCAACTTAATATCTAAGAATAACAACATTTTAGGAAAACCAGAATAGCAAACCAATATATGCACCAGATAACTATACTTGCCAAGAATAACAAATACATTATTTGCAGTTGAAGTGACCCTTGCTCATAACAAGACTCCCCTCCCCCAGTAGTTCCTTGTGGAACTTGTAGCTGAAGGAACCACGATAGAGTATTAAGAATTCATAAGGGGCTGGTGAGATGGCTCAGTGGTCTAAAGCACCTACTTAGAAAAGCTAAGCAAAAAGCACAGGGACCACGGTTCAATCCCCCAGCACCACATGCCAGCCAGCCCCGCCCCCTGGTGGGCTGAACTGGCCACACACACACAAAATAAATAAATAAATAAAGATTTAGTATTAAAAAAAAAAAGAATTCATCAAACAATTCTTTGAGTAGCTGTTACTAATCAACTTTGTCACTGGGATTAAACATTTTGCAGCCACTTGTGTTTAAGAATTGATGGAAGTGTTAGTAAAGGTTTCATCGAAGACTTGGGCTTTGAATGGTAGATGAGAGATCTCTGCCTTTATGTTTTCTTTTGCTCTCAAACATGAATTTTCCCATTTGGGACCTTAATATTCTCCATATATATCGTTATAAATCATACTTGGGTTTCTGCTGATCTTTGAACCTGGAATGTAACTGTCACCATCCATCCTCTTCTACTTCATAATTTTTCAGGCAGATTTGATCCAATACCTACACAATCCATGATATGGATTCTTTTTCTCTGAACTCTTTGGTTTTCAGGCTGACCTTGAACTTATTATGTAGCCAAAGCTGGTTTCAAGCCAGCAGTGATCCTCCATGTATTGGAATTATAGGTGTGTGCCACTACACCAGGCATATTTTTCTTTTTCTTTTCTTTTCTTCTTTTTGTGGAACCAGGGATTGAACTCAAACCCTTGCGCTTGCCAGGGAAGCCCTTTTCTACTGAGCCATCTTCCCAGCCCCGTATTTTTATTTTCTACCTGAACTATTGGTCTAGATTCCACAGAAAAATTACATAATCCTTAAGGATAAGGATAAGGGCTGTATTTGACAGTCTGTCTCTTTTTTTTTTTTTTTTTTTTTTTGTATTTTTAGGCAAGGGTCTACAGGATGTTCAGGGTCTCATGACTAGATCGGACTTGTAGTAAACTGGGATTATAGGCGTGCGCCACCATGCCCAGTCTCAATCGCCGTCTCAGTGCACACCGGGGGGCGGGGCCGGCACGGGGATGGGGGGAATCAACCCCCCCCCCCCGCGCCTGCTTGCAGGTGCTTTAATCTGCTGAGCTATTTGGCCGGCCCTAGCCTCTTGTATTTTCCATAGTAAATATTAGTTCATTGACTGTAGGTGAATGTTAGTGTGAAACATTTAAGATAGGGGCTGGTGAGATGGCTCAGTGGTCTAAAGCACTTACTTAGCACAAGCTTAGCAAACCACAGGGACCGCGGTTCAGTCCCCCAGCACCACGTGCCAGCCAGCCCCGCCCCCTGGTGGGCTGAGCTGGCCACACACACACACACACACACACACACACAAATAAAATTAAAAAAAAACATTTAAGATATGCAGTATTAGGTAAGTCTAACTGGTTTTAAATGATACGGTATTCTCTACTTTTTCATTACTTAACTATTTCTATTTTGACCATATGATTCTACCTTTTAATTCTTACGTTTAGATTTTTTTTTTCCTTTTTCAATTTTGGTTCCACACCTAGATTTTAGACTTTAATACCATCTATCCTGCGCTACTCAACAATCAAATTTTGCCACAATTTAGAGTTGTGGGAGCCCCGGGTCTCAAGTATTTGTATATATATATATATATATATATATATTTATTTATTTTTTTTTTTTGCGTAACCGGGAATTGAACTCAGGACCTTCCACTTGCCACGGAAGCGCTTATTCCACTGAGCCATTTCCCCGGCCCCTTGTATAATCTTTTCAATAAGAATTAAGGCGGGCCGACCAGATAGTTCAGTGGACTAAAGCGCCCGCTTAGGCAGACGCAGTGACTGGATCCCAGACGTGCGGTGCCGGCCCCGCCCCCGGGCCTCGCTGAGAGGGCACTGAGACTGGGCGTGGTGGCCCGAACCTATAATCCCAGAATTTGGGAGGCTGAAGACAGGAGGGTCACTACGAGTCCGATCTGTGTAGTGAGCCCCTGTAGACCCTCTACAAAAGCCGAATTATCAGCATAAATCCACCACACTCAGTTTAGATCATCTGCCACTGCAGTGACAGAATCATCCTAGTTCGCAGCCCAGAGAATCCCTTCGAGTTGCCCAAGTTTCTGGCAGCAAACGTGCGGAGAAACTTAATCTCATCCTCCACTACCGAGGGAAGAAGACAAGGAGGTTTTGGCGAGGAGCGTTATAGAAGATATTTCTGCAGAGGCATCTGAAAAATGCTCGCGGGCACCGGCGAGGGGGCTGCAGGGACAGCTTGTTCGGACCTCTTCCGGCGGCTCCAGCGGCTGTGCGGGCGGGGCTGCGCGCGGAGCTCGTCCCCGGAGCCGCGGGGGCCGGGAGCCCCTTTCCCCGCCCCGTCGGCCCCGCGGGCCGCGCATGCGCTACTTAGGCGGCCGGAGCGGCGGCGGCTGGAAATGGCGGCCGGTGGCTTGGCGGCTGTGGCCGCGACGGCTGAGTACTCCGGCCCCGCGGCGTCCGCAGGGATTCTCTCCGGTGTTAACGGCGGCCTGAACGCCGGGGCAGGCCCTGGCTCCTGCCCGGGCTCGTGGAGCCGCTCCCTCGACCGAGCCCTGGAGGAGGCAGAGGTGACCGGGCTGCTGAGCCTGAGTGGCCGGAAGCTGAGGGAGTTTCCCCGGGCAGCGGCCCACCGCGACCTGACAGACAGCACCCGGGCCGGTGAGAGGGGCGCGGGGCGGGGCCGCGGGGTCTCCGGGCTGCGGAGGGGCCTGTCTCGGCCCTGGAGCCCGCGCCGGGGCCGCCCGAGCGGGACGCGGGACGCGGGGCGCGGGGCGCGGCGCGCAGCATCCTCCCGGGGCCGGAGCTGGCGGGGGCCTCGGGGCTCCCGACAGCCTGCTGCCCAGCCGGACCGCAGCGCCGGGTCCCTGCAGCAGCGGTCTGAGGGCGGGCTGGCTGCGGAGTCGCGAGAGGTAGCGAGCTCTTCGCTGGTCGGCCGAAGCCGACGGTCCGACCCAGGCATTGTCACGGGACGGCCGAGCCCAGCGCGATCGAGCCCAGCACTGACGTTTTTGTTTTCAAGTGTTATTCGAAGAGTGTGCGTGTGCGTGTGCGCGTGTGTGTGTACGCGTGTGCGCGCTCGCGCGCACGCGTTTGTGATGTGAGTTTGAACTCTTCTGTGCCTCGAGCTGGTTGACTTACCTAAAGGACTTGTAAAATAACTAGAGTCCACCTTCAGTTTCTCTTTTTCTTCCCTCACTACTGCCCAAAAAGTTGAAAGGACGAAACACACTTTAAAATGGATCCTCTATATACTGTATATGCGTTTTCCTTTCGAAATACTTGTTTGCTTTATACGTATCATTTTTTTTTCACACGGGAAAGGAAATAAGGAATTAGGTATTATTTGGTTTTGCTATAGGGAATAATGTCTGTTTATTGAGGTGTTTGTAATATATTTCTCTTACATTTAAAATAGATCTTCCTCGAGGAGTAGATTAAAAAATCGGATCTATTCATATATTGCACAGTTACAAAGGGAAAAAAAACCTCTTGCATATGTTGCAATTTTTTTTTTTTTTTTTTTTTTTCCAGAACCGGGGATTGAACTCAGATCCTTGCGCTTGCCAGGGAAGCGCTTATTCTACTGAGCCATCTTCCTGGCCCCCCTGTAAATATTTTTATGTAGTGTTGAAAAATTTGTAGTGCTTTTTTTTTTTTTGGACAGGGTCTTGTTGTGTAGTTTAAGTGGGCCTTAAATTCACTGCATACCTCCAGCACACAGTAATCTACCAGTCCCAGCCTTGCCAGCACTGAGATTGCAGGCATGTACCACCACACCAGGCAGTGCTTTGTGTTTTAATTCATTCCACTTTATTTTAAAAAGTTTTAACACTTTTCCTGTGTTGTGTTACACTCATAAACGATTAATGTGTTACAAGTGATTCCCTCAAACAATTGAACTACTTAAAAAAATTATTTAAAGAAACTTTTGGGCTTGCTGTAGTGGCACACACCTCCAGCACTCAGGAGGCTGAGGCAGGAGGATCACAGTGTGATGCCGGCCTGGGCTACATGGTGAGTTCAAGACCAGCCTTGAACAAGACCCTGTTTGTTTATTTATTTATTTATTTTCTGACCCTGTCTTAAAAGAAAAAGGAAAAAAAAAATTTTTTTTTGGTATAGTATGAAATAGAAATTATTTGTGTACTTATTTAATAGCTTTTTGGAAATAGTTGTACTGAATATTTTTTGGGTTTTTTTTCAGTGAGTGATATTAAAGTTTTGTTGCTAAGATAAGTATGAGCATCATCTTGCTTTCTGTATGTGTTCTCCTAGACAGCACCTGAAATTGTCATTGGAACACCAAATTTCCTGATTATGTTTAGGAGATAACTATCTGGCATAGTGAATTCATATTGCTGTGAGTCATTTGAGTATTACTACATTAAGCCTGAAGGTAAACAAATAAGTAGATTATACAACTGTGTCTAGTTCATTATCTTACCTCCATTCTAGTAGCTCTAGAAGCAACATTTTGAGGCCTTAAGAAATATTTTGTTAACAAATGGAAGAGTATTTCTGAAGGACAGTAATCCCAAGAAGCTTTTTTTTCCTTGCTCTGGATGTATATGTTTTACCCACACTTGGATGATAGAATTTGTATATAAACTAAATGTTGTTGACATTTTATCAAAGAAAACAGGTGATTACAAGATATTTTATAATCTGTCAGACTAAATTCATAACTAACATGTAGAACTATCACTTACTAAATTTAGGAAATCATTATCAGACCTTGATACTTAGAACAAAAGTCTAAGTTGTTTCAAACAGATCATTTATTGTGCTGATGATATTTATTGAGTGTTCAGTATTTGGTATTTATCATTTAAGTGTTTTATTTTTTATTTATTTATTTATTTATTGTGGAACCAGGGATTGAACTCAGGCCCTTGCACTTGCCAGGGAAGCGCATATTCCACTGAGCCATCTCCCCCGTCCCCTTTAAGTGTTTTAAAATACTTTAGTACTCATGAGATAGCTCAGTGGACTAAGTATCTGCTTCCTCAGTGCCTATTTCCTAGGGGCCTGCTTCTCTGGTACCACATGCCACGCTGCCCCCTCCCCTGGGTGAACTGAGTTGACCACTGAGACCCAGTGGCGCAAACTGTAATCCCAGCACCGAGAAGCAGAGGCAGAACTATGAAGTTGAGGCCAGCCTGGGCCACATAACAAGTTGTGAATTCAAGACCAGCCTACTGGCCTGCATAATGAGACTCTATCTCAAAAAACTTAAAAAAAAAAAAAAAAAAAAAAGCCATGTTAAATACACACAACAATATGGATTAAATATTATTTTCCTCACGTATAAGGAAAACTCAGAGTGTGTTTTTTTTGTTTTTTTTTTTTGATACTGAGAATTGAACCCATGGCCTCACACTTGCCAGGCAGGTGCTGTGAGAAAGTTTGAAAACTAACGTTAATGGTGGAGTTTAATCCAGGTCTGTCTAACTCTTCTCAGCATTGTGTCAGGCAGCCTCCCCATGTGCAAATAGGTATTACTTTTCGCACTTTAACAGCTAGAGAAACCAAAGTTTAGAAATGTCATATAATTTGCACAAAGATTTATAAAGGGCAAAGGATGGGGCATTAGCCAGAATGGTGGCCTGGTTTGAGGTAATTCCAAAAGCCATAGTCTGTAGTTACTTGGTGAATTGAGATTTATGATAGCTGAAATGTTTTGCTTAGACTAAAGAAAATTTAAAGCCATCAAAGTTGCGCCACAGACTGCTCTTCCATAATATATAGGATGTGTACAGTAGAGCTGCTATCCTTCAACAGCTCATGTCCTATGATTTTTTTTTTCTTCCTTTTTTCTTTTTTTTTTTGGTACCAGTAATCAAAAGGCACCATGCCCCTGAGCTATATCCCAGGCTCACGTCCTAGGAAGCAGCAGTGCACATTACTCATATTGTTGGTTATATTTTATCAGGAACATTTTCTTGAGGTTTCCTCCCATTTGTTTTGTTTTATTTTTTTTCTCCTGTAGACTGCAAAATCTTTTTTTTTTTCATAATTTTATTGAGAAACAAATAACAATAAGACAGTTTCAAATCAAATGGGTAGGACAATTTCAATAATTAACACATTGCATACATTCTTCCTAGTGGTTAATTGCTGTACAAGATGCGGACATGATATTCTATTTACAGACACCATTAGAACAAATCCTTCTATTCATTAAGAGAATGTAACTATGTATCTATCCTAATCACTTTGAATACACAGATACAAAATGGACATTCATCTGTATCCCCCTTTTTTGTTAAGTTCCGTTATTTGAATATTATAGGTGTGTTAATTCAGCAAAATATTCTAAAAGAGTCCAGTAGTCCATAATTGTATTGGGTCTTCCGCTTCACTGGCAATGTCAGAAATTGTTGACCTGAGCTTCCCATTTGTTTTAAAAAGAGGCCTGCTGCAAGAGGAAACTGTTTACTTGGGAGCAGGTGACTTGATCCATTGGATGTGGAAATTCTTTAAAGAAATCATAAAAGGCTTATTGGAACACAAAAGATATAACTTGATTTGGGTGTGGATAAATGAGAAGGAAAGCCATTCCACACAGTGGTGGACAGTGTGCAGAAAGCTATCAGAGTAAAGGGAGTTTGGGTTGATTTTGCCAGTTCACTCTCTATTCCCCTTCCTTTGATAAAAATATTTGTTTCCTTAGGAAACCGCTGCTCTCATTATGTGAATCCTATCATAGGGTGTGTGTAGCAACTCAAACCGAGGTAATGGCCAATCACTTTAGGCCACTGTTATGGCCACAGTGATTATCAGAGATGAGCACATTTTCCTTTTAGCACATATGAGAGTTCATTCTGAATTTTTTTTTGACTAATGAGAAAGATGTATTCTTTGAGTTCTGGAGTGGATGAGAGACTGCAATGTGAGCCTGAGCTGAGCGAGTTGGTGCATGCCTCCTCAAGGCTACTTGGGAGGTTGAGGCAGGAAGATTGCAGGTTCAAGTCAATTTAGTGAGACTCTATCTCATTATACATACACACAAAAGAGCTTGCTAACAGAAAACAGAATCTAAGGACAGAAAGAGATCAAGTTCTGAGGACACTGCCTGAACCTTGAGATCAATAGCGATACCTAAAGTTAGTGCTATCCTTGGACTAAATTATGTGTTTATTATGTATTTATATTATTATTAGTGTTTACTATGGTATATGAGTGTTTATGTGGGTATTCATTTTATTTATTTATTTATTAGTTATTATTATTTTTCTTTTGAAACAAGATCCTACTATTTAGCCCAGGCTGGTCTCAGACTTGCTGTGATCCTTCTGCCTGAGCTTCCCAAATGCTGGGATTACATGTGTGCACCCCCCATTCCCATACATTGCAGTATAATTTTTAATCCAAAATAAAAGTGCTAACTAATAAAGTCAGACTGCTCTTGATGTTGTGAGGACAATTTGGTGAGAAGAAATGATTGGGTAAGAGAATATAAGAACTGCCTTTCACATAAAAGGTGGATTGATACTAGAATTAGAGATAGGTCAGCACTTATTCAGCATTTATTGACTAAGGGTCAGTGGTTGTAGGCATGCATAGAGGACTAATAAAATCCTGTCCCTCAAAAAAAAAAAAAGAAGAAGAAGAAGGGTCTTGTAGAGAAATAGGTACACGTAAAGATTACTTACATTATCAAATAGCAAAACATGTACTAGGGCTTGTGCTAGGTAATGAAGAGCAAAAATAAGGACAAGCCTCATGAGTATTTACAAATCTAATAATCTAGTTAGGTGGCTGCAGAAATTTATGAAGGAACAGAAATTATACTGGAAAATGAAAATAATACAAGTCTTAGTTGAATTTATCAAAAAGTAAAGATAACTTAAACCTATAAGACTAGAAAGATGATAATGCTATTGCTAGTAATAGAAACTAACACAGCTCTGTGTTCATCACTGTGGTGAAATAACTGAGCTAGTTAATTTAAAAGGAGGAAATGTTTAATTTGGCTCCCAGTCTCAGAGCTTTCCTCCCATGATCAGTTGGACCTGTTAATGCCAGGCCTGTACATGATGGCAGGTACCTGTTGTGGTACAGAAGCTTGTTCTTCACATAGTGGCCAGGAAGCAGACAAAGAAGGTGAGGGGAGAGGGGAAGGTGCTGCTATAGTTTGGATCTAAAATGTCTTCCAAAAGTTTTATGTGTTTAGAGAATTTTTTTTTTTTTTTTTTTTTTTTTTTTTTTTTTTTTTTTTTTTTTTTTTTTTTTTTTTTTTTTTTTTTTTTTTTTTTTTGGTGAGACAGGGTCTCACTATGTAGTTCAGGCTGGCCTTGAGTTTACTTTGTAGCCCAAGCTGGTCTCAAACTTGCAATGAGCCTCCTATCTCAGCCTTCCAAGTCCTGGGATGACAGGCATGTGCCACCATGCCCATCTGAGGTGGACTTTGGGAAGGTAATTGAATCATGGAGATTAATTCACTGAAGAGTTAATAGCTAAACACTGTTAGGAGGTGGGACACAATTGGAGAAGGTGGGTCACCAGGTGTGTGACCTAAAACGATATATTCTTGTCCCTAACTCCTCCTTCCCTCTCTGCCTCCTCGCTGCTGTTGTTCAGCAGCTGCCCTCCACCATGCCTTTTCTGCCTTGCATTTCACCAACCATAGACTGAACCCTCTGAAACTATGAACCAAATGACTAATACAGGTCCCTTATTGCCTTCAAGGATACATGTCTTATGCATGACTTAGCTTCCTTCTTTTTCTTTTCATAGAACAGAATTTTATCTTTGGAGCAAAGAGATGTCCATTTGGGTCCCCAGACCATGGGGTCCCCCCGTGACTGTCCATTTCACAACTTTAGTTCCAGTTCTCCTTAAACATGAAAAGAACTCCAAAGACCTCGAACTGGACTCAAGGTCCAGTTAAATCCTTGGTGTCCGCTCTATGCAGGAGCTTTAGACACTTGCTTCTTGGTTCTTTTGGAGGTCCTGCTGAAGCCCCTGTAGCAGCTGGTTTAGAAGTGTAAGGTCACTGTCTCTTTGAGGTAGAGGCAGGGGTGGGAGGCAGTTCCCTTTATATTCGATCACTGCCATCTTTGCCCAATCCATCTTGTTCCAATTTGGGATCTGCACCATGTAGCCCCCAGTGTAGCCCCCAGTCTGACCTTGGAACTGAGGGCCCTGTACTTTAAAAAGCTTTGGGATCAAATCTTTCTCTGTAAGCCAGAAGTCAGCCATGCACATGGCTTGCTTGTTGGTGTCTCCCATTTTTCCATAGTTGATGAGCTGCTCGGCGTAGCCCCACATCTCATCTGCGCGCACTCATGTCGCCTTGATGCATTCGTGTTGCACTAGGCTGGTGAGCAAGTTTCCAGGTGGATGCGGGACTCGGGACCAAGGCCCAGGCGTTAGAAGACGTGGCCATGGAAGATGGTGGAGGCCACTGACAGCCAGGAAATTAGCTTCCTTCTTTAAGGCCCCAGCTTCAAAAGTTTGTATCCCCTCATGTTGCACAAAAGCTGGGTACTAGGCCTTCTATATGTGGACCTTTAAGGAACATTTCAGATGCAGATGACAGTAAACACTTATCATATTCTAGTACTGTGCTAAGTTATAAAAACATCTCATGAACATGCAAACAGGGCCTGCCAAATAGCTCAGCAGATTAAAGCGCCTGCTTAGGCAGATGCAGGGGCCAGGAGTTCAATTCCAGTCCTGCCGTGCTGGCCCCACCCCTGGGGTATGCTGAGACAGGGATTGAGACTGGGTGTGGTGGCACACTACCTGTAGTCCCAGCACTTGGGAGGCTGTCAACAGGAGGATCACTATGAGTCTGATATGTGCACTGAGACCCTGTAGACCCTGTCCTAAATACAAAACAAATACAAAAACAAAAAACATGCTGATATAAAAATGTCTTGTGACCATACAACAACTATAAGTTGTAAGAACTGTTTTTTTTTTTTAGCTATGTCACACATGAGAAAATTGAGACTCAGAGCTATCATAACTTTCTTCACAATGGCCCTCCCTGCTTTGAGACTTAGGAGATCAAGTAATTTGATCAAGGTAGGTGAGAACTAGGATTCAAGTTCTGATACAGTACTTGTGTGTGTGTGTGTGTGTGTGTGTGTGTGTGTGTGTGTGTGTGTGTTTCCTTGAGGCAGGATCTTGCTGTGTAGTTCAGGCTAGTTGAACTTGCAGTGATCCTCCTGCTTCAGTCTTCCAGAGTGTTGGGATTACAGGTTTACGCCACCACAATACTTTAGCTTGTGTCTTTAATCTTTTTTTTTTTCTCCCAATGCCTTCAGGGCAGGTTTGGCTGGCTTGAGTTGTTGGGATGAACCACAGCAACCTGAGCCTGACTGCTTTGTTGAAGCAGCCACTTAAAGAACTGAGCTAAGGGGCAGGCCCCCTTGTGTCTTTTTTTTTTTTTTTTTTTTTTTTTTTTGCTGATCCAGGGATTGAACTCAGGCCCTTGCACTTGCCAGAGAAGTGCTTATTCCACTGAGCCATCTCTCAGGCCCCTCCTCCCCCTTGTGTCTTTAATCTATAAGTCATCCTGACAAAGAAGTTTCAGTCATAGAATGTTTTGGTTTGTCTGATACCTTTAAAAGTTTGGTTGGTGACTTTGTGGATGAACCACGTACAGCAGGGAAAAATACCAGTTTGGGATTAGGATGCAGCTCAGTGTAGAGTGCTGACATAGCATGCTCCTGGACCTGGATTGAGTCTCCAGGTCTGGAGGAAAGAGGTAAAACTAGAGTTTATGTGAAGCTAGGACACAGAAATAAATTTAAGAGGATCCCAGTGAGAATTCTAAGAGTTTTGGAGGAAGGAAGTAAACAGGGAAAGCTAGTCATCAGAATTTAAAAAGGTGATGAGTTGGCCTGAGAAAGAAACAGAAACAAGAGTGAATAAGTGAGCCAATTTTAGAATCCAGGCTCTTGTAGCCTGAATGATTGGAAGTAACCATCTGTTATTTCACAAATGAGACGCGTTCTCTGGTTAAATCGTGTGCTAAAGGCTATACAGTGAGGTGGTGCTATTTCACAGAAGACAAATGGGAGTCCTAGTTGAAGCTATAAGAAATCGGTGTTTTTTTGCAGGGCGGGGTGATATTACTGGGAATCAAACTCAGGACTTAGTGTTTGTCAGGCAGGTGCTCTACTACTGAGCTAAGTCCCCAGCTCAAGAAATGTTTTTTGAGTGGAAGACAGAAAACAAGAAAGGATTCAGCATAAGGTTTAGGACAGGATGGAGGTGGGAAGAGAGGACTAAGATTATACAAACACAGAAGAAAACAAATGGATACATAGTGGGTATGCCAAGAAGACTTAGACTTTTTTTAAATAGCCTTTCTTTTATTTTTTTTTTTATATTTCACAATTTAAATCTTTTTATTAGAGTCCACAGTCTGCTAAATAAAAGCAGTAACAAGATATTTCACAAACTATTATACAATTTAAGACTCATGAATTTAATTTCATAAAAAAATTAGGTGCATATTCATTCTAACCTAAAAACGCTTTCACTATGGTCTGAAATACATTCTAAGAGACTTGGTTCCAACATGAAAATAATCCTACCAGCTTTTTTAAAAACATGTTTTATAACAAAAAGTTTGTGCTCTTGATCAAGAAGATCCACAGACTAATTCGGCATGTAAAAAATAATTTTACAAAAAAACCAAGATAACACTTTCAGATCCACTTTTATTCTGTTTGCTTCTTCACCTAGAGCTTCTCCACCCTGCTCCTTGCAGCCAGTCTCTTAATGTTGGCCAGGTACTATTTAACCCCTAAAACCTTGTTGGCATCAAAATTGAGTTAACCAGTGTTAAATCCATAATATTTACATTGCACGGCACACTGAGCTTTAGACACTTGGCAATTAAACCACATTAAAAAAGAGGACAAGCCCCCCACCCCACACGCTCGGAATCAGGCGTTCACCGGTCCCTGTGTGGCGACTGGACACTGGTTCAAAGGGCAGCAGAGCAGCAGGCAGTTATTTCAGAGGACACGGAACACTGTGATCTGGAAGCACATTACGCTGTGCCCCGGGCTGGGCAGCGCCACCTTCCCTGGGCGGTCTCAGAATTCTAGATTGGCAGGTCCAGCGGGCACACAATGAAGACAGACAACACAACATTTATTCGGCGGAGACATCCTACTCAAGGCTATGCGCGTACTGTGATTTTGAAGACAACTCTTCCCAAGAACTTGTCACGATCGTCCTCATTTCTTAGGTTCTTTGATCCCTCGATTCTGCATTCTACCGTTGCTTCTTTCTTGGTGCTGTTAGAGTCAAAGGAGACCTGGACAGCAACCAGTGGCTGGAGATAGCCCACATGCAGTTTCTTTCCATAATATGGAAAATACTTTAAGTCTATGAGTCCATGATTAGGATAAGTTGATAGAATTGGTGGATATTCATCCTTTGAAATACAGTCTATCTTTGGTGATCCTTCAGGCTTTAATCCAATGATTCTATTCATTTTTACAAGAATACAAGGTTGTCCTTGGGAATAGCCAAAATTAGGATCATTTATACCGCTGCACACTTCAAGTAAGGAATCAGGAAACTGACATGCAACATAAACTGGACCCTTCTGTTCAAAAGCACTCCATCAGTACAGTTGGCGAGATTCTTCTGTTCTTCTAAAGAGTATGATTTTAGAAACTTCTTAAGGTCTTTAATGTACCCTTCATAGGAATGTGGATCAGAAATACTAAATGTATATTCCAATGCAGTCACTGGTTTTGGGAAAACCATGAGTCCTGGACTAGGAATCTGGTCACGGTATTTGGGAACTTCATCATTCAGAGTCTGAAGCATAGCCCACATGGTGAATGAGAAGAGCGCAGCCAGGAACCCATAAAAAACTGCGTAGAAGAGTAAGATCAAACCCCAGCTCTTGGCGGTGCGCCCCAGGAACTCTCGGGTGGTCGGGTTGTACAAGAAGAGCTTCCACGCGGCCAAGCTCTCGTTCAGAGACTTCTTCTCGCTCTTCGTCATGGTGGGCGTGTGGGCGACGCGGCGCGCGGAGCGGCGGCCCGGCGGTAGCGACGCAGCCCGGCGACGGCGGCGGAAGGCAGCTCGGCCGAGAAGACCTCCTCTTCACCGGGAGCACTCGAGCCGACTGCGCCGCGCCGAGCCGCCGGCCGCCCGGGCCGCCTCTTTTATTTTTTTTTTTAACATTTATTTATTGCGTGCGTGCGTGCGTGCGTGCGTGTGTGTGTGTGTGCGCGCGCGTGTGTGGCCAGCTCAGCCCACCAGGGGGCGCGGCTGGCTGGCATGTGGTGCTGGGGGATTGAACCGTGGTCCCTGTGCTTTGCCAAGCTTGTTCCAAGTAGGTGCTTTAGACCACTGAGCCATCTCTCCAGCCCAAGACTTAGACTTTTAGAAATAAAGTTTTGTTTCCTAGGTAAAAAAGTGATTGTTAAAAATGCTACTTAATTGTTCAAGGCACAGTGTGTAACCCACAAAATCATGATTTTGTTAAGTCTTGGAAATGTGCACTAGTGTGCCAGGTCTTAAGTGAAAGTATTTATTTTTCTTAAGTCCTTTTTGAGATCTTTTTTTTTTTTTTTTGAGATCTTTTTTTATCAGTCATTTTTTATAACTATGCTTTCTAATGGGATGGTCACTAGCCATAGTTACTGTTAAAATAAAAATTATTGGCACCACACATAGTAGCACATACCTAGAGTCCCAGCTATTTGGGAGGTTCAGATAAGCGGGATCGCTTAAACCTTATGAGTTTGATTCCGGCCTGGGCAATGTGATGAAATTCTGACTTAAAAAAAAAAAAAGTTGTTTTAAATTACAAAATTTAGAAATTGGGAGTGTACCTTAGAGTGTTTGCCTTAGCATGTATACACACACAAAATCCACAGATTTTACTCCAAAAAAACCTGTTCCTTCAGTTGTAGTAACCACATTGCAGGGGCTGTGTACATGTGTCATATTGGATATCACTGGTTAAAAAAAAAAGTTCCATCACAGAAAGTTATATTGGGCAAGAATATTGAGGCATGTCTTTTTTTTTTTTTTTTTTTTTTGAGACAAGCTCTCATTGTATAGTTCAGGCTGGCCTCAAACTCACAAATATCCTTCTGCCTCAGCCTCTTGAGTGCTGGGATTACAGGCATGCACCGCTATAGCTGACTTGAATTGTTTTATAAAATCTGGAAATAAGTGTGGTCTTTGCAGAGCACAGTACATTCTTTGCTGTCTTACATACACTTCTCTACCCAAAAGACAATTCTCAATTTTTCCATGTTCTTGGCATGACTTGTAACTTTCTATTTTTCCTTAATTTGTTTTTATCATTACTATATTCATGAAAAATGTGAATTATTTTGATTCTCATGTGTGTTTTCATACAAGCTAATCACAGTTGCAACTTTATAGTAATACTATGTTCAAGTTTCTGAGTACATTTTCCAAGTGTGGGGAAACAGAAATACATAGAAATAATCACAGCAACTAGTTATTTAGTTTCTCTTAGAAAGAGGCTAGAAAAAGCTCTTGTGCTCTTGTTTAGGACTAGAAATCCCAGGCCTGTTCCTCCAGAATACTGTCCAGCTGGGCACACCAGGGCTCACTGCAAAGCATTGTTCTCAAAGTGTTCTTAGACCAACAACAACAGAATTGCGTGGGAAATGGTTAGAAATACACACTGTTGCTTCTCGCCAGAGACATGTGGGACTAGAATTCCAGGGGTGGGTCCTAGGAATCTGTTTTTTTGTGTGTGTTTTCAGATGGGGGTCTTGCTATATTGCCCACGCTGGCTTGAGCTCCTGAGCTATTCCTCTGCCTCAGCCTCAGGAACAGCTGGGATTATAAATGTGCACTTTTGTACCTGGCTACATCCCATGTCTTTTTTTTTTTTTTTTTTGCGGAACCGAGGATTGAACTTAGGCCCTTGCGCATGTCAGGGAAGTACTTATTCTACTGAGCTATCTCCCTGACCTCAACATCCTATGTCTTAACAGCTCTCTAAGTAGGTGTGATGTATGCTAAAGTTTGATAATCATTACCACGAAATACAGAACATCTCATGGTAATTCTATATCAATGAAATTTCCCAGCAGAGGACCAGGGAGATAGCTCAGTGGCATAAGAATTGTCTAAATGTTAAAGGATTAGTTTTAGAAAAGTAATATTTTAAATCTTTCTGGTTGCTACTTTCCAATTTGAAGTTTTGTTACTGTCTGCTATGTGGAAATTGTACTTGTTTGTATCATTTCTTACCCTATTTTTTTTTTTTTTCCCAGAACGGGGAATTGAACTCAGGCCCTTGTGCTTGCCAGGCAAGCGCTTATCCTACTGAGCTCCCTGGCCCCAGTTCTTACCCTACTTTTTAAATTGATAAGCTTCCCATTACTTTTTGGGAATCATTTTGGTCAGTATGAAGGGCAAAGAGCTCCTCAACACATGAAAATACTTCACTAAAAGTTTTATTAAACACTATTAAAAAGTATATTGATTTTGCCAAGAAAAATAAAGGAGTAAAAATTTCAGGAGACAGTGAAAGGAAAGGCAGTAAATATGAGTACATCTCAGAAAAATGGCCCTTGGTTCTATTGATTATAGTTTTTTAACCTTTGTGTCTGTATTAGTTCATCTCCAAACAAAATATCAAGGTCTAGGTAATGTATTTATGGTATTTTTCTTTAATCTTTTATATATTTATTTGGCACATGGTCTTCCTATGCTGCTTGGACTCATAGTGATCCTCCTGTCTCATCCTCAGCCCTGGGATTATACGCGCATGCACCACCATGCCCAGTTTTAGTGGCTGGCTTGTCACAGCCGGAGTTCCGGGGCAGGCATGGCATGCTGTACCAGGGACTGAACCCCCATCTTTGTGCTTGCCACACAGCTATCTCCTCAGCTCCTGGGTAATGTATTTAAAAGAAGTTGGGCCAGGGAGATGGCTCAGTGGAATAAGCACTTGCCTGGCAAGCACAGAGGCCTGAGTTCAATCCCCGGTTCCACAAAAAAAAAAAAAAAAAAAAAAAAAAAAAAAAATAATAATAATAATAATAATAATAAAGAAAGAAAGAAAGAAAGAAGTTTATTTGTTCACTGTTCTAGATGGCACTCATTTCTGCTTGCTGTGGTCAGGGCCTCATGGCAAATGACACACAGTGGTACGTGCAGAAGAGATGATATGATGAGATACCAGGCTTGCTCAGTGAACTAACCAGGGTCCCACGAGGCTACCTTAATCCCTTTTGATGACACAGCCCCAGTGATGCCATCACTCTGAAGTAAGCTTCACCTCTGGAGAGTTCCACGATTTTCCAGCATTGCCATACTAGGGACCAGGGTTCTAATATGTGAACCTTTGGAGGACACACTTAAACCATATTCAAGCCATAGCACCACCTTAAGATAAAGGAAGATTAGCTCAGTGACATTGCAAGGTATAAGCATACTGCAGTTAATTCATAATCTCTGCTTTTGTTTATTTTTATTTTTATTTTGGTTTTTTGAGACAGGGTCTCACTATGTAGTCTAGGCTGGCCTTGAACTCACAGTGTAGCCCCGACTGGCCTCAAACTCATAGCAGTCTTCCTTCCCCAGTCTCCTGAGTAATCGAATTACTAGCATGTGTGCTACCATACCTAGCAATTCCTGCACATTTTGAAGATTATATTTAGTAAGAGTCTCTGTGTTTTGGAAGAAGCAATTTAATGATGGTACCTGTATTCAGGCCCTCCAGAGGAACAGAACCAATAGCACATGCTTAATTATAAAAGGGGGTTTCGGGGCCGGGAGATGGCTCAGTGGAATAAGCGCTTCCCTGGCAAGTGCAAGGACCTGAGTTCAATCCCTGGTTCCGCAAAAAAAAAATAAATAAAAAATAAATAAATAAATAAAAGGGGGTTTGTTAGATGGGCTTACATGATCGGAGGCTGGCTAGTGCCACAGTTACCATCCAAGCCACTTGCCTATTGGATGGCACTGCCTATATTCAGGTGGATCCTCCCTCTTTGGCTCACTGACCTGTATGCCAGTCATCTATAAAGATACCTGGCAGTGTGCCTCATCCACTTTTCTAGACACCTCAGTCAAGTTGATTCCAAGATTAACCATCACAGTGTTTAGTATTAAGTAGTATCCCTTACAAGGTTCCTGATTTTTACAAGAACAGTAGAGCTACCCATGAATCACTACTAATGTGCCTCTTAATCACATACCTACCTTTTAGCATTTTAAAATAATCTCCGCATGCAGTGTTTTATACAAGAGAGTGAGTATGCGTTTGCATTGTTTTTTTTTTCTTTTTTGTTGCTGTTGTTTTGTTTTTTGTGGAACCAGGTTGCATTGGGTTTTTTTTAAATTTTTTAAATTTTTTTATTTATATGTGGGGGGGCAGCTCAGCCCACCAGGGGATGGGGCTGGCTGGCATGTGGTGCTGGGGGATTGAATCGCGGTTCCTGTGGTCTGCTAAGCTTGTTCTAAGTAGGTGCTTTAGACCACTGAGCCATCTCACTAGCCTCTGCATTTGTTTTTTAATTCAGAGGAATACTACACAAGTAGTAACTTGTTAGTTTTATCTGACCCTTCAGGTAGATTACCTGACCTTCTTAAACAGCGTTTTTCTCATCTGTACATAATCTATACCTCATACAGAAGTTTTGTGGGTTGAATGAAGTTGTAGCCATATGGAACAATTAACAAAGCTTCCAATGCCTATATGTGCTTAGTAACTGTTTGTTTCCTTCATTTTTTCCTTCCCGTTTACTTTAGTACCATATTTCTTAATTTAGTAATAGATGTATTATGTGCCTGTTTCAGACATTGTTTTAAGCATGGTATAGCTTTTGATGTATGCTTTTTAAATCTAAAATAACCATTTCAACTTTGTTATATATTTTATTTTGTCAGTCTTATTTTACATATCAGTATGGTTTCATAAAGTACATATGAGGATTAAATTGATGTATTTTAGTGCCATACTTGTAAATTGACTTTTTTCTTCTAGTGTAGTCAGTAAGGATGACTGGCTGGTTACTACTGTGAGTTTCCTCAGATATTTTTGCTGTGCAGTCAAAGCTGGCCTTGAATTCATATTACATCATCGAGGTGGGCCTCATACTTGTAGTGATCCTCTTGCCTCAGCCACCCAAATGCTGGGATTATATGTCCCCAT